GTTAAAAGTGCGAAGTGTTATTAGGTCATCGAGGGAAATTATTATCTGCTTGGACATTCGATTAAATGTTCTCGTGTATGGTCAATGAACTCCAAGTTTATTGATGGTCCACGAGCTAGAAAAGTGAACGCGAAATGTAAATTAATTTTTTAATATAATTGAGAATTAGAATCATAACAAAATAAAAGTTTATTTGCAAAAGTAGTATGAACGATCTTATCTTGCTCGCACGTAGGAAATGTCCAAATGCAGTTTTCATGGAATGAAGAAAGAAGAGGCTTAATGCCGAAGAGGCCCCCACTTAATTGTGGCTCAAGAGGGCAACTACTGGCTATTGAGTTATTTTCTAAGGTTCAACAGCAAGTTCGAACCTTTAGAGAATGGCTCTCTAGTCATATTTTATATTTTATTGTTTTATTTTTTTGCTCGTCATTAATTTCTAGTTGTAATTGGAGATGATGGACCATTCCATCTCCTTGGGACACCAGATGCGTGTCTATATCGTCAAAAAGATGCATATGTGTTTAGTTAGTTCGAGTCAAAATATTTAAATTCCATTTTTATTACATTTTGAAATCTCATTATCGTCTTTTGAATATTAAAGTAATCTCTCTTTTTTTTTTTTTTTCTTTAAGATTTTTCACTTTTGTGTAATTTTTTTCTTTTCTATATAATGCAGTTTAAAAGTATTAGTTATAATAATTAATAGATATTATTTTCTCTAATAACTTAATATTTTTGTACTTTTACTTTTTTATTTTTTTTATTTTTTGTAAATTTAAAATCAAGCCTTTTTAATTCAATTTTATTGCAACTTTAAATAGAGATTTGATAGCAATAAATAGAGAATTCAATTTTAAAAGTGCATCTACGAATTGGACGATTCATATGTCAGGCTATTGTATCTCACTTGATTCTATAATTAATATAGTTTTCTTTTTGTTTCAGGTGATCATCGTTGGATTTAACAACAAACCCTTGACATCTTTTTTCTATTTGAATTCCTGAAATTGTTTCATTTCTTAATATATGTATAATGGCATTTCTGAAGGCACACACTTATTTTTTCACTTAAAATTTAATATTTTTATTTATAATTCTATTTTAATGTATCTGTGTAATTTAATAATCTAATTTTATACTATCAAAGGAAATGGTATTCTATTCTAGTAAGTATTCTATTATAGTAAATCATAATATAGAATATTACTATATTATATATATTATCATTCATTACTATCATTCATTACTACCATTCATTACTACCATTCATAATAGTATGAAAGAATATAGTATTCATTCATAGTATTATACTGTCATCGCGTTAAGTCCCTACTAGCGACCACTGGTTTTCTGGGTATTAACTAAACGTATTTTGGTTAGTCACAAAGTTGGCTTGTGATCCTCAATGTACTTCTATACCCTTCGGTAATATTATGCATCGATATTCTTAACAACGCTGAAGAAGACCGTATGTCGGCTAACACAGTTCAATTTAATATTTCAACTTTTTCTAAAAAATGTGCATCGTATGCATAACTAGATAAACAAAGAAGTGAAAGTTAATAAACAAATAATTCTTACCGACACTTAAATCGATTGTGTGTGCATTTTGAGTTATTCTAAATTCTATTCACGTTAGCATCACGTTGATTGCTTTGACGTGTTTTGGGCGTGTGTGTTACTCGTGTCATCGCGAAATTTAGATTAATTTTTGTTAAATAAACCAAGTGTTAAAGAAAATCAATCAAAATGTGCGCAAAAATGGCTTTTCAACACCAAGCGGGCACCGCGATGGAATGCCTGAGTGTAAGTTTTATTGAAATGAAAATTTGTTGTTTATTGAAAGTATACCTTGGTTGATTCATCTCAATGATATTAAATATTTCATTTGCATACTTAAATTTTGCCTTTTAGAATATCTTTTTTATTAAGGAATTATTAATAATTCAAAGAGAAGTTATTAACAAATATTTATAACATTATCTCTGTTGAAATGTATGATTATGAAATATATAGTATATCCATTTTTATCTACAGATACCAATAACTTTGCAAAAAGAAACAGAAGTTAATGAGAATGGAGAAGAAGTGATGAAATGTGGATTTAAAATTGGAGGTGGAATAGACCAAGATTATCGAAAGAGTCCGCAAGGATATACGGATAATGTATTTTAAGAATATTTTCTAAAATCATTAATCATAATGAATAAATAAGTTATTCAAATTATAAAGAAATGTTACTATTTTAGGGTATATATGTAACTGAAGTTCACGAAGGATCACCAGCAGCTAAAAGCGGTCTTAGAATGCACGATAAAATTCTACAATGTAATGGATATGATTTTACAATGGTTACTCATAAAAAAGCTGTCTCTTACATAAAGAAACATCCAGTATTAAACTTATTGGTGGCACGTAAAGGCGTAACCAGTACTTAAGTTGGACCAAACGAAAAATATAAAATAATATTTATTTCATATTTCATTTTGACATAAAATTCATTCATTTGTGCATCGTGTCAGATTAATATCAGATAACGAATAACAATTTCAAACTTATTAAGATCAGAGTATGTTCAAGATAATGTATATCAATTGATTCTACATTAGTATGAGAAAGGAAAAGAAAATTTGGAAAGATCAAATGTAAACAAGAATTTTTGAAAATGTATAAACTGTTTTATGATATGAAACATCATTATATAATTACTAAAATTTAAAATCATTGAATGACACGATGCAATGTGATGTTTTCCGTGTTCTAAAGACTTTATTCTTGGTAACAATAATTTAGTTTTATTAGATAATCATGAATACTTTTAAATAATTAATAAGTCTCAGTATCAGGCATAAATTTATTGTTGTTATATTTTATTGTTGTTGATAAGAAAAAGAAAGAAAATACGAATTATATGTACACAATTTCTAATGTGCACCAGTAATGTTACTAATAATATGAATTTGGTACGTTAAGAAGAGAGAAAAACGATTCAGATTATACTAAATGAAACAAAAGAATAAGAAATTTATACAGAATTTTACAGAATTTTTCACATATATCAAAAATGGTGCCAAATTTTGTCAACTTATTACCAATTTTTTACTTGTATAATTATTAAGTAATACTCAACAGAAATAATTATATACATTTATATATATATATATATATATATTAAAAAATATTAAACTTATTCTACTTAATTTGATAAATAAGACAATTAAGTTGTCTTATTTAATGATAAACGATTAAAAATATGCCTGAAACAGAACAAACGAAGGCCAAAGCGTTTCAATAGAATACAAACTTAATGCATTTTGAAAAGAATTTTTTGACATTTCTATAAAGCAATTATAGCATTGCTATTATACCATAAGAATTCTACTTCAAAGATCTTTTACAAAGAAGAAAAAAATATGATGGAAATACTTAAAAAAAAAAATACAATTTCATTATTACTTACAATTTAACAAGAATATGATTAGATAATATTTGAGATTTGTTAGATTATTAGGATGCATGTAATAGATGAATTTCTACAAATTTCATAAATTAACTATAACTATATGTTTTTTTTTTTTGTAGTATAACTACCATTAACACAAGAAGAAGAAGAAGAAAGCTTCACAAACAAAATTTAATAATTTCTTTATATCATCATTTTTATTCCCAAATTACAATTCTAAAATCTTTGAATACTTTTATATGAACAAAACAAATCATATCTTTTTGTTGTTTTTTTTTTTTTTACTTTTATAATACTTCGGATACATTGCATATTATAAGTGTGAAAAGAAAGAAAGAAAGAAGAAAAAAAAAAGAACAAAAGTTCCTGCACCAATGCGTGACTTCCTTTTCTATTTCCGATTGTAATAGTAAAAGGCACTTGTAAATGCGCTGCTTCTCAATTACATCATAAATATACATTTTAAGCCATATAACTGTGAAGACTAGTCTATGAACATCAGAACTATTAAAGTTCAATCATAAACACACACGAAATACATTCATTATACTGTATGATACAATATATATATATATAATGTGGGAAGAAAAAAAAAACTATGTATTAAAAAGTTTGTAATGCTAAAAATTAGGTCCACTATTTTGGTGATGTAAAACATTGATTTTTAACAAAATATTATTTCACTTATAAACGTTTACTTTTTAGTGCTAATGTAGACACTCAAGAATTTGTTTTTCATTAATTTTGATGATAAAAATTCTGTATAAATAATATATATACATATTACTTATAATAATTTCTTAAT